GTACCAGATCCTGACGGAAAATTACTTCTCTTCTGATCCTTTGCTCTCCTACCTGAATGGAGGGAGTCCTCTTCTTCACTAGTGGATTCTACCACCCTCTCCCTGAGAATTGTTGTGTTCTGTGTTGAGAGCACCTTCCTGCTGACTCAGTTCTAAGGCAACCGTAACTCTTCCTTTATGACTGGCAAGATGTGGCATTTAGAGAAATGTCCAGTCTAAGAGTGACCCTTCACAACTGCTGATTATCTGTTACTGCTGCCCTGAGCTGGGGCTCAAGGGCTGGGAAATCTGTTGGTGCTACCCTGCCCTACCATTTACCCAGTTCACTGACTGCCAACAGGAAGTACTGTTTGGCCAGTTTCTTTCCATTCACCTATGCCTCTTTTGTCCCTAGACCAAATGTGTTTACCTCTATGCTTTGCCAACTTAGCCAGCAGCTTTAGCCAACCAGGCCATCTGGCCCAAATGTCTCCTGACCATTCTGTCTGGGTTTTACACCCTCAACAGGAATCTGTATTTGTCCCAGTTTCTTCCTAAGTTCCTATTGAGGTTGCTCCAATCACTCTTAAGGAGGGAATAATTGTTGTTATAGACGCATTTGCGCTTTACATAAAGATTGAAGAAAGAATTTGCTTTTATTTCCCAAAGTTGGTCTCTGGGGTTGAGACACTTGAACTCAGGCAGAGGCACAAGGCTGGGCAAGGCTGTCCTGAGTTTAGGGGCCTATCCTTGCATCTTTCTTAGACCTCGGAATCTCCTCTGTAAATTCCACCTGCCTAGTTCTCCCCTTTTATCCTATCTCTCTTCCCACATCATCAGAGAGGGAAAGCTCTTTGTTAAAAAGGAAGAGAAAACAAAGCATCTTATTTTCTTTTAAAAAAAATTTTAAACCATGGAAAAGATATTTTTAAAGAAATCCACCCAGAACATTAAAGTTCATTATATTAAGTATTTATCATGTGTGAGAAGAATAAGTATATAACTGCAGCTAGTAGGTCTTTTTCCCTAATCTCTTAGGTTGTATGAGTAGGGTTTGCTTGGTGCCAGTCATGTGCCCTTTTCTCTCCTGTCATCTGTAGTTACAATCAGAAAAAGTATCCACACCACACTGTCAGAATCTCCTTTCACTATGTGTGTTAAATTACCTTAGTTCGTTTCATGAAATAAACTGTGAATTTTTTTCGTGGTGGGGTTGTGTGCAGGCTATGTAAAAGTTTGTAAGTGGAGAAGTTTGATCCTGGAGTAGCTTCTCTGAAGTAGGCTTTGGTAGGTAATTGACTTGACAGCCACTCTAGATATGTCTCACGGGACAGGAAGGAGTGAGGGAAAGGTGGGCCATGATTGGCCACTTTATGGTTTTATTTTGGTCCTTTACATTTTCTACCACTCACTGAAACTTTCCTTCCAGACATGCCTGAGAAAACAACTTATGAGCTATGCTTGGTTTAAGGGTGTAGGAGGGCAGTTCTTTATTCTAAATGGATGGAGTGCCAGGTTTTCCTGGAGGCCATTGACTCAGGTTGAAGGGAACCTAGAGAAATTCAACTGTCGGGCCCACTGATAGCAGCATCTGATTCTAGATCATGAAAAAAGTCACTATGCAGTTTAGAAGCACAATCAGGACCGTTGGAAACGGACACTTTTGCCTGATGCTAGGGAGGGAGTTACCTTGCTAGGACTCTCCTGGAGCCTGTACTAATACCTTTCTCCAAGGAGTGTGAGTTGGCGATTAAAAGGTAACCCCTTCTCTTAGAAATTCCTTCTCTTATGCAGAATGGTATTTGCCCAAGTGCTTGGAAATTGGGATCTCAAGAGAGTCTGCCTCTAAGCCACTTCCCCTGGAAGCCTTTCCCAAGAGGAAGTCATAGTTTCCATAAGTAACTAGAGAACAAACACCTTTCTAGCTCTGTTAAGTCGGGGGGAAAATAAATTATGGAGACTTAAATTCAAAGCCTCATTTGCTTCTCTTACTGAAGCCAACCCATTGCTACAAAATCATCCAAGTTTTTAAATGTCTGCTTCCCCCTAAAGTTACTGAGTTTGAGGTGATTTAAATCATTGTGTTGATCCTATTCTGAACACCACCAAATCTACATCTTTGGCAGTGAAGAAAATGTATTCTTCATATCCTCTACCCCATACCATGGTCAGGGCATGAAGTGCATTAGCGATTCTTTCACAGGTTTGGCAGCATCTGCTTGCTGGAGCTGGACTCCTAGGTCACCTTGTGAGACACGGTGGCAGGAAGTCTGGTCCTGGCAACTTCCCCCGTGGAGACGAATTAGGAGAGCACTAAACATGGATGGATTTTGGTCTCAGCTCCTACAAAGCGGTTTTTTTCTCCTACGGCTTTTTTGAGGGATATTGTTTTGTCATCTTCTTAGGGTTTGTCAACCAGGTCAGAGTGGCCCAGTGTTGTAACCTCTCTGAGATCGTGGCAGGAAAGGAGCTGCCACAAGTCCCTTTCCTACTGAATTAATGTTTGGGCTGTTCCATGTGTTAGACATTCCAGATCATTTAGAGTTAGGTAGCTGCCACATGACACTTTCCTTGGCTGTGTGGCCAGTTAGCTCTCAGCTGAGCTTCCTAGGGCCAGAGGTTGCTATAGTATAAATTAAAGTAAGAATAGATAATTGCTCTGTATACACACACACACACACACACACACACACAATTTAATGATGGTGCTAATTTCCTAGTATAAAGAGGCACTGCCAAGGGTTGAGGAACTGGTGACTAGAGAAACCCAAGATCCTCTTTGGGAGGAAGAGGTTTTATGTAGAAGAGTTTCTCTGAGGCTCTGTTAAAGGAGAGGGCAGAGTCTCAGTGAAGCCTGTACCCGATCTTGGAGTGGTCCAGTGCAATCCAGAGATGGAAGAGATGCCATGTCCAGATGAGGGTGGCCATTGAGTTTCTTGGCTAGTATCACCTTGTCCATAGCCCCTGTCCACAATGCCCAGAATAGGTTGGTAGAGAGCTCCAGGGGCAGGGTCTCCCTCAGTTACCTTCTTCCCCTTTCCCTCTTCCACTCTCGTAGGAACACCTCTATTGTGTATGAAGATTAAAGGGAGTATTTCTTAAGGAAGTGGAAAGTTCATTTTAATTAGAAATTCACAGCCTGGGAAGATATGTTTCCTACCAACGTAAGCAGAAAACAGCACATGTTAAATCTTAAGTGGTTTCTTCTCTAGAGCTGCTTTCCCATGACTTTCCAGACATCAGGCTATTGAAGGGCTTCAGGTATAACACTCTGGAAGTCCAGCATAGCTTTGTGGACAGGAGGAGAGCCCAGGGAATAGGAGCAGAAATGAATGGTTCTGGTGCTTTAGACTTCCAGGGTAGGGGCAGAGAACAGGTGGTCTCCAGGTCTGAGGTGGGTGCTGCCTGTGTGTGCATGTAGGTGAGTGTGTGTAGAAGATGGGTGAGTGCAGCACACAGGAGCTCATGGAATAGATTTCAAAGTCTTGGCAAAGAAACAAGCTGACAATAGAGATCTATATTTTTAAGAAAAGGGGTGTAGGGGATACAGCTGAGGTCCATCACTTTTTTTTTTTTTTTTTTTTTGCTCCTCCTCACCCACATAGATTGTCAGCTGTAAGTGAAACTCCTAGTGGAAAAGAGGGGGAGCCCTGTGCTAGGAGTCCCCATAAACATGTACTGTAATTCTTTGTAAATAGAAAAAAATTACTGTAAAGTAAAGTTTAACTTTACTCTTATGGCCCTTGCCCTGTGTTGTGTTTTGTTGTCTGTGGGGAGATGTAGTCCAATAGGAGGGAGGATGGGTTTGGGGTGAGAGCAGAAGCCAGCCTTTGCACTAGTCCCAGGTGGGGATACAGGGGAGTTGAGCCATTCTTCTAAGCACCTTGAGGGAGTGGTGTGGGTTTTCTCTCAATAGTCATTAGGTGCTAGAATGTCTTCATTTTGGGAGTGGCTGGTGTTAGTTTCAGTCCCTATACAGGAAGCCTTCATCACCCATGAAGTAAGGGTATTTTGAGGAATTGATTTTTTAAAAGGAAGTAGAACCAAATGCTTCCCGAATGTGAGTCTGACCATCTTGCCCAAGTTTTTAGTTCTTCAGAGTCAGGTGGGGCACTGCAGAGGACCCAGCCTAAGGCAGGAAAGCACAGGCAAAGGGGCCAAGCCTCCATACAGAAAAGGGTTGCTAATATACTTCGTTTTGGTTGAACAGGAAGTGTCAGCCCTGTTTACAGTTAACACCTGGTCCTTCAGAAACATTTGGACCTCCAAGGTCCAAAAATACATTTGAGGCAACCTTGGGAGTCAGCCTCCTCTTCTGACCTAATCTTGAACTTCCTGCCCCTTCAGTAAAATGCCCTCTGGGGAAGATAAGCATTTAGTCCTAGATTCACTTTTCATTCATGATTTTCAGTCCTGAAGTGGGCATGGTTACTTCATTTTACAGTTAAATTCAGGCCACGTTTAAGTTCCTTTTCTAAGTTAGTATATGAATTGGATCCCAGTCTGGATCCAAAAGAACTTTCTGTCTTATAGAACCTAAGATTTTTCTACCATTAAACCACGTTGTAAGATGCTGATGGGAAGGTTAGGTTATGAGACACAGGCATGACTCAGGGACCCAGATGTAACAGATGCTGTGGAACCAGCCAGTCTAAGGAAAAAGTGCTTGATCCTTTGATTCTGAATACCACTTAAGTGTCTGCCTTGCTCTTCTCAGCACCAAGAAGGAATTGTGAGCCCTAGCCAGTTTGGCTCAGCGGTTGAGCGTCAGCCTGCGGACCAGAGAGTCCCGGGTTCAGTTCCCGCTAGTACCACCAAAAAGTAAAAAAGGAATTGTGAGCTTTGCACCGTCCCAACCCTAGCATCTCAACCTACTAAAGTATAGGAAAGGGCTTTTTTGTTTCTTATCTCATCTGCAACCCTGGGGTGAAATTAACTTGGTTTCCAAAGGAAATTTAGGGTTGGGAGGAGCCATAATATAGGAAATGAGGCCAACCCGGTGGCCCCAGAAAGGGGCCGAGTGTGATTCATAGCGCATTGATTTTATTTACAAATCAGAAGCCACTTAAGTAATCTGCAGACACAAGTGCTATCCAGGGCAGAATCCTGGAATCCAAATTGGCCCTTACCCTCCTAATGCCCATCAGCCCAATGCTGCATCTGTTCCATGGGCCAGCACAGGCAGGTGCCACTTCTGCTAGCATGGGGACTTGGGGTGGCTTACACATTTGACCACCCAAGCCCAGACAAGAGCTAGGTCCAGCCCCTTGGGGAATTCCTTTAATTCCCCCAGGCCAAATGAGTGGTGATTCAATGGTGACAACAGCTGTAGAAGTAGGGGTTTGCCTTCTGGCCCAGGTCCACGCCCTTGTCCTCTGTCAAAGAGAGAGGTGGCAGCTCAGCAACCAGTCTGTTGGGGGATCAGGTAACAAATATGAAAGGGGCTAGATGCTGAGGGCCTAGAGGAAGTCTCCAGAGGCTAGGGAAGTACACACCTGTCATCACCTGGAAGGCAGCCACACTGACGTAATCCTCTGCCACTTTCTGGAAGAGCTCGTCTGGCAGGAAAAAGGACGATCAGTGAAGGGTCAATGCCAGTAGCCCTAGGATCACCCAGTGACACAGCCCTCTAGACTCTTAGCTTCCCCTGGTGCCCCTGCCTGTTCCTGCTCTGAGGCCCAGGACAGCACTCACCCACACTCTGGCCTGTCTTGCTGGATGTTTCAAAGAGCTGAGCTTTGATATCTGTAAAGAAAAGTGACTAAAGCCTCATATCTGAGAATCAGGTGGACACAAACAAAGGGAAAGTCTAGCAGTTCAGGGACTCTTCTGGACCTCACAGGTTCAGGGAGGCTAGAAAGCTTTTCCAGGGAATCTTGCCATGGCAGCCAAGGCAGTTCCTATTTTCTGTGACCCACCCAAGCAGCCACTACCCTCCCCCATCCCCCAGGGAGCTAGGGAGCTGAGGAGCAGCTACTATCTGCATAGTCCTGGACATCGTGGAAGTCCACACGTCGACGCCGCCGGTCCTCCTCCAACAGGTCACTCTTGGTGCCACACAGGTAGATCTGACAGCCCTGAAGCAGAAGACAAGATCAGAGACACCCACACAACGACCAGAGCCCCAGCCCCTGGTCCTCTGGTGAGGTCTGGCCACCTACCTCCTCTAGGTTGCGCAGTTCCTTCACCCAGAACTTTGCCCGCTCAAAGCTGCTGCTGTCTGTGAGGTCTTGGTATACGGCACGCAGGAAACAACCAAGGGTCAGGGCTATTCTCTCAGGCCAGCGTGGCACCCACCCTCTTTGTGTTCGAGGAACAGGCCAGAACCTCCCTTACCATAGCAGACGATCGCAGCCTTGGCGCCCCTATAGTAGATTCTGCTCATAGCCTCGTAGCGCTCCGAGCCTGCTGTGTCCTGAAAGGCAAGGGGAGCTCAGCCCTGACCTGAGTTACTGAGCTACTCCCCAAAAGGTCCTCCAGACCCCCATTTTTAAACAGATCTAGAGAAGAAAAATGGCCTCTATAAGGCCACGAATAGACAAGACTAAGCCTCCTCAAAAATAGGTTTTCCCAGGACTACCTGCCCAGAGGACTTACCCAAATACCCAAAGTCACCGTCCGGTCTCCGACAGACATTACCTTGGCCACGAAGGCGGCCCCGATAGTCTGCAACCAGGGGAAAGCGATCAGGATCGCGGGGGCGGAGGAGCCCTCTCCCACCCGTGCCGAGTCTCGCGAGGCGCACTCACGTTCTGATAGGGCCCCACAAGGAAGCGGTCGTGCACGTATCGCTCCACCAGGCTCGTCTTGCCTACGTACTCCTTGCCCAGCATCACCACCTTGACATCCACGCGCTGACCGCTCATGCTCTCCGGGCTGCCTCAACCGCGTCAGGGTCCTGAGCCCCCACGCTAGGTAAACCCGGATCTCCACTCAGGCCGGCAGCGCCCAAGCCTCAGTTCCTACGACTCGAGATACCACGTCGGGCTCGAGCTATGGCAGCGTCCACCTGCCCCCGCTCTTCGGCGCCCGGCGCTGATCGTCCTTCCCAGAGCCCAGGGCCCACGGCAGCCTGGGAGGGCGCCGAGCAGCGCCCTCAACGGCGCCGCACGCCGCCGCCGGGTTGGGGCGCCACTCCAGTTCGGATTCCCCACAGAGCTCGGGGTCCACTCCAACCCGGCTCGGCTCGCAGCTCCGCGACTCCCAGAGGGGGAGGGGCCTCGAGTCAAGTGCACAGGCGCCGGAAGTGGTGTGTACAGCGAGTCTGCGCCGGAAGTGGCGGGCTGCCCGACCACTCCTCATGGCGGCTGCAGCTGGTGGGGTGCGGCGCGGTTTTGACTGAGCTGCGTGCCTGGTGGGCGTGCGCCGAGCCCCAGCCTGGCTTTCGCGTGCCCCCACCCCGGGCTCTGCACCCCTGATGCTGCACGGGTGCTGATCCCGCCCCGGCCGGGACAATGGTGAAGTACTTCCTGGGCCAGAGCGTGCTCCGGAGTTCCTGGGACCAAGTATTCGCTGCCTTCTGGCAGCGGTACCCGAATCCCTATAGGTACGTAGCCCAGGCAAGAGCAACCGTTCCCTCTCACTCTTTGGAGATCGAAGTGTGGGGCCAGGAAGGACTCCACGTCGAGTCCGATGTAAGGGATTGCCAGAACTGTAGTTGTTTTAGGGTAAGAGGACCCTATTGAGGAAGTGGCCAGGCCTGCAAGGTGGTGAAGGATGAAACTGGGCGGTGGTTTACTTGAAGCCCTACTCTAAGGTTCTCTCATTTCGGGGTGACGAGACAGGAAGAGGTGGTGGCACAGGAATTAGGAGGGATCATGGGGTTGGAATTCCAAATGCTCTCCTACTCCTGCCTGTGGCACTCTCCAGCGATGCAGTAAATCATGAAGGCCAGCCATGCTGGAAGGCCCAGGAATCCAGGTCAGCGAGAGGGCAGGAGTTGGAATTTGCCCTGGGAAAGGTTCAAGAGACTACGTGGGATCTGAGCCACACACACATCACTGCAAGTTTGGGGGAAGGCCTGGCCATTCTGGGCCAAGAGGCTCCAGATGGGAACCCCAACAGGCAGTCTCTCGGGGGCAGGCTCCTGAGGTCACCTTCACTCTGATACCTGCAGCAAACATGTCTTGACGGAAGACATAGTGCACCGGGAAGTGACCCCTGACCAGAAGCTCCTGTCCCGGAGACTCCTGACCAAGACCAATAGGATGCCACGCTGGGCTGAGCGACTATTTCCTGCCAATGTTGCTCACTCGGTGTACATCCTGGAGGATTCTATTGTGGACCCACAGAACCAGACCATGACCACCTTCACCTGGAACATCAACCATGCTCGGCTGATGGTGAGACTCCCTTGGTCCCTCCAGAAGTAGAGCTCCAGATACTTTGGCTAGGGAGGCAGTGGTTTTCAAATCCAGGAATCCATGAAGTCATAAGGGTACATTGGGTGTGCCTCAGAAGGGAGAGGATCTGAGCCACATACCCCATGTGGACTAGAGGAGTAACACTCTATGTGTCTTATATAATGGATTTCTGCCTAAGAGTTTAGGGAAAAAGCATTCCATATACCTCTGACATCTTGTCTTTAAAACTTGAAAACTCATGGTTTAAGGAACATTCTACAATATCTTCTCACATGTGAAGCTTTCAGAAAACTTTCTCTTTCTCACTTAACCTTCATAATAACCCTGGGAATGGGGTATTGCTCTCTCGTGCAAAGAGAAAAATGAGGTTTAAAGAGGGGAAGTGTCCTAATACACTGACCCAGAGTTACCTGAAACTCACAACAGACTATCCTGAGGACCCTACCTATGTGTTTTTTGTTTTATCCTCACCCGAGGACATTTTTGCATTTATCTTCAGAGAGAGCGGGAGGGAGAGTGGGAGGAAGAGAGAGAGAAACATCGATGCAAAAGAGACACATTGACTGGTTGCCACCCACACAACCCCAACTGGGGCAGGGACAAACCGCAACCGAGGTACGTGCCCTTAGTGGGAACTGAACCCAGGCCTCTCTGGTCCCCTGGCAGATGCTCTAACTGCTGAGCCAAACCAGCCAGGGCTCTGTGTTTTTTTATATAACCAAGATAGTGATCCTGCTGTGAGAAATGTCCTTCAGTCCAACAATGAGACAGCCCTTTGAAGGATTTCCATTGGAAGTACTGGTCCACTTTTTCCTCTCTGATAATGACAGCTGTGACAATTGCCAGATTCCCATTTTTATTTGGATTCCCAATGAGCTCAAGAGCTACAACAGGTGGGATATGAGCTAAAAAAACAAATAAAAACCACTGCTCACATCTAGGCCTAAAGGTACAAAACCAAATCCAGGGCCAGGGTGGCACTGGAAGGCCCTCTGCTGATCTCAAGAGTACATGTGCCTTATAGTTTAAAGGGTCAGAGGAGAGATTGTAAAGAGCAAAATGACCTTTATGTTCTTGTTCTATAAATGCAGCTTGGGATGCAATAAGGGAAAGGAATGGAATTTCATTTTATTGCCCTCCCTCATGAAAAGAGGCAGGGGATCAAATTTATGTGAAGTTGGCAAAATAAAAGAATCCCACACAATTGTAGTTGGCCTGACTCTGCACACACAGGTGGTGGAGGAACGATGTGTTTACTGTGTGAACTCTGATAACAGCGGCTGGACCGAAATCCACAGGGAAGCTTGGGTCTCCTCTAGCTTATTTGGTGTCTCCAGAGCTGTCCAGGTGAGCAGCGTTGTGGGGGTGCTGGGGCTCTGTGGCCCAGGGCATTTGACATAGAGACTGGGCTAGGGTCAGTGGGCAGCTCAGAATCCATCCCCTTCTCATCTTTTGCCAGGAATTTGGTCTTGCCCGGTTCAAAAGCAATGTGACCAAGACAATGAAGGGTTTTGAATACATCTTGGCCAAGCTGCAAGGTGAGAACCTCCCAGGCAGTCTGGGATTCAGTCCTAGCTCCCCTGACTGGTATGGAGCCTGGGGCTATCACTGCTCTTCTCTAAACCTGGGACTACTCATCTGTATGTTGGGCAGATATCACCTTTCCGATGGGGTCTGGCTTGCAGGATGTGAATTTTGTGGGGAGCAATTAGGTGAGTCTTCTTGGCATCCTCTGAAGGCAGCCTCTGGCCCTTTGCTGCAGGTGAGGCCCCTTCCAAAACCCTTGTTGAGACGGCCAAGGAAGCCAAGGAGAAGGCAAAGGAGACAGCCCTGGCAGCTACAGAGAAGGCCAAGGACCTTGCCAGCAAGGCAGCCACCAAGAAGCAGCAGCAGCAGCAGCAGCAGTTTGTGTAGCCAGCCCAGACCCTGGTGCAGCAGCACACTATACCACCTGGCTGCACTCCCTCTACCCTCCCTCCTTGTATTTTATTATTAAAAGTCAACTTCCAGCCTGATTTACTTTCTGGGTAGTGGGTTGGAGGTGGTATGTGTTTGTCATCTACAGTGCACCAGACATGTTACCCAGTCTGGGCCAGACATGCTTCCCACACCGGATAGCCGAGGAGAGATTTACCCAGGGTCACAGATAGCATGCAGGCAAAGTGGTCATAAACACTAGACTGTAAGCTCCTTGAGAGCAGGGATCCTTGTTTTGTTCTCTGCTGTGTCCCAAGTACCTGGAACAGTATCTAGTGCATGATAGGCACTCAATAAATATTTGTTGAATTCAATCAGCCCCAGCTGTGGAGTCAGAAAGCTTTGGTTTGAATCTTGACTCCGCTGTATCCTGGCTTTGGGTCTCAGGCAAGTCCTATCACTCAGCCTCAGTCCCACCTATAAAGTGGGGAAAGAGGGCCTCTGAGCTGTGAGAATTAAAGGGGTACTGCCAGGCATAGTCAACAGTGTTTGTGGTGGCTACTGATCTCATTTCTTCTTTCCCATTTTATGGCTGGGAGTTTCCCCATTTTCATCAGGCAAGACCATGGACAGGAAATTAAGAAAGCCTTTTAATGAAAACACTGTACAGTATCTATAGGGGAAAGGCCAGAGCCCTTGTCTAGGAAGGAACAGAGGGGTGGGCCCAAAAGTCTTGTCCTTTTGGGGACAACAGAGTCAAGTGCTACCAAAAAATGCCTGGAAGAGTGGCCCAGGCCCAAGCTGCTTGCCCTGCTGGGCTCGGGAGCCAGGTCCCCTCCAATAGGAGAGACTATTGGAGACAGCAGCAGGGCAGGGGGAGCACCTGTTCCCGTGCAAAGGTCCGTTTAGTCCATTCCAACAGGAGGTGACTGAGCAGCCCTTGAGGTTTGGGAAGGGCTCCTGCCTGGCAGAGTGGAGCGGAGGGTGGTCGGAGGGCAGAGGCGCACTTGGGCCGTGAGGGTCATAGCCAGGTACCGCTGTGTGAGTAGCTGTGCTCCTGGCCTGCACTGAAGCCCCGCAGCAGCTCGGCCTCACCCCCGAACACTACGCTCTCCACGTCCACCTCCAGCTCCTCTGCACAGGGACAGGTCCAGTCAGGATACCTGGCCCACTGGCCCACCCAACCCCTCCACTTCAGGGCACTCACCTTGGTCTGAATCGGAACGCTCAGAGGAGAGGCCTGAGGAGTCCAGGCTGTCTGTCCGCAGCCGCTCCCACTCGCCTGCCCCTGCCCAACCCCGGAGCTGCTCCAGCTGCTGCTGCAGGTTCTGCTGCTTGCTGCGCAGCTTCTCCTTGAGCCTCTGGGCCCGCTGCTCCTGCTCCTCCAGCTTCTGCAGATCCCAAGGGAGCAATGGGCTGAAGTCAGCTGCCTGGAGGCCCAGGCCTCACTCCAACACAACTCAGCAGCAGGCCATGGCCTCTTGGTGACCACCCGCTCCACACGGGCTCACTGAATTTGGGCGCCAAAGGGTTGCCTCCACATCCTCCAAGAAGTCAGGCCCTCCTGTCCATGTAAGTGGCCTGTGAGTTATATCTACCTGGGTGGGGGAGGGAATACAGCACAATCTCAAAGACAAGGGTTTAGTCAAGTGAGGCGTAATCAGGTGATGTGAAGGAAAGCCCTGTGCTGGCAGGTGAAGGGGGTGGACTGTGGCTTGATGGCAAGTGTGAACTCTACCTGAAGGAGGAGCCACTTCCAGGTTCTAGCCAATCACTGCCACGTGAAAGAGGCCTAGTGTGGCCAGATCTTTCAGTGTCTAAGAGAGCTGCGAAGTCAGTTTTTCATGTGTTAAGTGCTTCTAACTAACTTAAACTTTAATTTTTTTATTTATTTTTTATCACCGAGGACACTCTTTCATATTTTGTTCAGATAGAGTGGGAGAGAGAGAAAGAAACATCGACATGAAAGGGACACATCGAGTGGTCGCCACCCGCATGACCCAACCAGGGCCGGGGACAAACCGCAACTGAGATACATGACCCTAGCAGGAACCGAACCCAGGTCTCTCTGGATCGCAGGCCAACACTCTAACCGCTGAGCCAAACCGGCCAGGGCACTAACTTAAACTTTTAGAAAACTACACACTAAACAAAGGCTACCAGTTTGTAACTCCTGGTTAAGATCCTCGTAGGAGCCCTGGCCGGTTTGGCTCAGCGGTTAGAGCGTCGGCCTGTGGTCCAGGGAGACCTGGGTTCGGTTCCCACAAGGGCATGTACCTCAGTTGCACTTTGTTCCCGGCCCTGGTTGGGTCATGTGGGTGGCAGCCACTCGATGTGTCCCTTTCATGTCGATGTCTCTATCTCTCTCTCTCTCTCTCTCTCTCCCACTCTATCTGAACAAAAAACAAAATGAAAAAATGTCCTCGGGTGAGAATTTAAAAAAAGTAAAATTAAAAAAAAAAAAGATCCTCGTAGGAACCCTAAGGCTTCTTCAGCATTAATCTGTTTTCCCTGCCCCCACCAGAGCTCTGCCAACCCCAAGTATCAGGGACTAAAAGATCAAGAGTTTTCCCATCAGAGTCTTTGATGGGCAGGAGCCTGCAGTCAACAAGGGAAGCATGGGGAGGGAACATTGGGACTGGGTGTAGAAGGGTGAGTCACAGCTTCCTAGGCGAAGTAGAGGAAGGAAAAGCACCCAGGCAGAGAAAGACTGAGAACAACACCAAGAATTCAGCTTTTTGGTGGGGAATGGGGAAAAGATGAAACTAAAAAAGTAGGCCAGTGGCAACGCCTGAGTTGTGAAGGGCCTTGAATTCACAGGAAGTAAGACTGAGACTATCCTGTCAAGAGCCATGGAAGGTTTTCCACACAAGATGGATCTGGAATGATCTATGTGCTGCAAAGAACATCCTAAGGCAAGGAAGACAGCTTGGTGGAAGCAAAACAGGAAGCAGGGAGTACAGGAGAGGTGTGATGGGGCTTCAAGGAAGAAGCATTCTGCAGAGCCTGCCTACCCTCCTGTCAGCACTTGAAGGGCACATCATCCTTCCACGAACCAGGTCAGGCAAGCCCCATGTGAGAAACTGGGGCCTGCTATTCAGCTAGAGTGTTATTCAGCCACCATGAGGGGCATGCAGACACCTATGGAACAGTGCAAATAATTCCCACACTGTGATTTATTTCCCACACGGCACACCCATCTATCTCTTACAGGGCCCTGTGCCTAGAACAGCTGGGCAGAGCAGGTCCTCAATAAATACTTCTTGAAGGAAAGAATGCAAGTCAGGGGACCTGGGCCTAGGTTCTGAATCTGCCTCTCATGAGCCTGGTTGTGCCTCCATTTCTTCCTCTGTCAAAAGAACCAGGAGGGCAGGAAAGGTCTCTCTTATGTCCAAGGCCTCTCCTAGTCCCCTCTCTCTGGGGCAGCCTGGGGCTTTGAGTCAGCACACACCACTCATGTCCACCAGGGGGCAGCAGCAAGGGCCCTGGGAATATGGTGACCGCCATCCTCTCAGTCTGTTCTGCTTCCTGGCCTCTGGACCTGCCTCCCACAGTGGCCTCAGGACCAACTCCCCAGAACAAAAGGCCTTGAGGATGGGGGAGAGGAAGAGTGAGGACTAGCCCTCTACAGCCTAAGGGGCCCTTACACACGACCCATCACATTATCTTCAACAGGCACACCCCTCATGCAGAGAAGGAAAGGAAGTCCAGAGAGGTTAAGTGCTTGGCCTAGGGTCTCACAGTTGAAATAGAAGTAAATAATAGCTGTAATAACAGTGAACATGTATTGGGCAAATGCTGAAACTTAGCCTCAGAACAATCCTGAGTTATCTTTTGCTTTTCTTTGCATTTAACAAATTTGGAAACTAAAAGCACAATAGGCCTCTCTCCCCAGTTTCACCCAGCCCTTCCCTCCTACACCTCTCCACATGTCCTGGTAAGCTGACTCCAGGGCACAGGGGTAGCCCCTTACTTGGATGTGCATCCTGGCCCGGTGCAGAAGGCTCAGTGTGGTGTATCGGGCACAGTCAGCCCCCAGGGGCATCTGCTGCTTCAGCTGCTCCAGGCACCGCTTCAGCTGGGCCCTCCTGCAGGGGAAGGGGTCTGGAGGGCAGTGCCAGCCCACCCTTCTAGTCTAAGGGCTGATAGGGGAGGGAAGGCCAGAGGGAGACACTTCCTGGGGCCCAGTGCTGTCAGGGCATGGCTGGGACTCACCTGCGCTTCTCCAGTTCGTTGTGCACAGACCTGCCAATGCCAGGGAGGATGGGGTGAGGGGACATCACTTGCCCACACCTTCAGTCCCAGGCTCCCAGGGGCTCAAAATCCACTAAAAATCTCTGCCCAAATTAGCTTGGTATGGTGACCTTGTGCTGGTCTCAGGCACCCGAATTCCCAGGCAGAGGCAGAGACTCATGGGGAGATGGGGGGGGAGGGGGGAGGGGATTGCAATACTGAGAAAGGCCTGCCCAGGTAACTGCGGAGTACAAAGCCCCCTATCAGCAGTCAGGAAGGCCTTTGTAGCAGTTTCAGCTGAGCCAGAAACACAGGTTACCCAAAGCAGGTAGTGGAGGGCGAAACACTCAAATTGGAGGGAACAGCATGTGTTAAGGGTGGAGATGAGGAGAGAAAAGGAGGAAGCCTGTGGGGAAAAGTGAGTGATGTGGTATGTGCAGTGCAGGAGTGTGAGTGGAAGCGGGACCCAAAACTGCCTTGTTCACCTCAGGTGTGCTCAAGAAATAGTCTTTAAATGAATAGAGGGTGTGTGTTTGGGGGATGGGAAGATGGCAGGAGGGGTCTGAATGTCTCCACAGTAGGGTACCTGGCCCCAGAAAATGCAAGCTACAAGGAGGAAGTGGGCCGAGGATGGGCCCGAAAAGGGACAGCGCCCATCTCCCCCCTCCTCGTCGCCCCTCTCCCTCCTCACCGCCCACTGTCCAACGCGCCAAGAGCTTGGGGAGATCCCTTCCTCTTTCTGTGGACAGGGCCCGGACTTCGGTGCGGGAACAGGGACGCGTATCCATGCTCAGCCTCTGTCAGAGAGAACCCGCGTTCGCGTCAGGCTGGAGCTGGTCCTAGCGGGCGCCCCTGACACGGCACGGTCAGGGGGAGGCTTTTGGCGCCAGGGCCGTATCCCCAACACTTCCCAGCCCAACTTCCTGCGGACTTCTCTCTAGATGAAGACGGGGATGCCCCAGAGCTACTGCCTTAAAGCCGTACATATGCATCCTTCAAGTTGGGAGCCAAGTCCAACCCAGGCTGGTGTAGGCAAGGTCGCCTCCTGGAGTCCAGCCAAGGGTTCTGCCTCACCTCTCTCTCGGCGTTCCAGGAACTCGGCCGCCTGCAGCAGGACCTGGATGTTGCTGGCCACGGATTCCATGTCGGCGACAGCTGGCGACGGGAGGGCCTGAGGTGCAGACCGCGGGAGCAGCAGCACTACTTTTGTTACAATGTAACTGACACCGTGCAACAAACGCTGGCGACCGGCCCCGCCCCCTAGACGCCCCGCCTGCGGAACGCCCAGCTCTTGGCCACGCCCCTCTGAAACGCGCCGCAGCCTCAAGCCCACCCCCCGCCAGTTCCCCGCCCCCTCGGACTCCTGTGGTGCACAGACAGGCGTCAGCTCCAGGCCCAGCCCTTGGGCTAATGCCCAGGCTGGGAGGTGATGTCTCTTTGCCGGTTTGCTCAGCGACCCCGCGCTGGCTACTTGGCGTATCTGGGCCTCAGTTTCCAGCACGTGCTGGTGGCGAGGGCCCTGTACAGAGAATGGTGCTCCAGGGCCCTGTGGTCTTCGGAGGCCTCCGGCCCCGCAGCTGCACGTGGGCGCCGGGGAGGCAGGGCGGGTGTGTGCCTCGTTCGTTGGTGGGTAGTCTTAGACTGCTCGCTGTCGTCACCTTCCGGACCGGGCTGGGGAGCCTCTGAGGCACTATTGGCTGCGCGCGACCCCGCCCACTCTCGCTGCTGGTCGACACATTCGGGCGGGAAAAGGAGCAGGTTTCAAATTTGAAAACCTAGACGGTGGGGGCGGGGCTGAGCCGGGAACGGAGTCGCGGTGCGCAGGCGCTGGGGGAGGTATCGGGATCCTGCTCTGGGCTCCGAGGTCTGTCCTGACCTGCAGGCCATATGCTCCCGTGGGTCCCCCTGAGCTTCACCTTCCTATTGTGGCGAATGGAAATAGTATCCAGGCTTGTCCTCACCTTCAGGGAAGCTACTGTCGCTAAAAAACGTCAGTAAGGTAACGACTTCCAGGCAAACTGGCTCGCTAGAGAGCCTCTAGAGCTGACAGAGTTGGGTTCCTTTCCTGTCACCGCTGCTTCTCAGTTCTGTGACTCACCGAGTGACCTCTCTCCTGTAAGCTCTGGCATTGTTGAAGGATGAGAGCCCACACTTGTGCCGTGCCCAGTAGGTAGGAGCTGCTGATTTCTACCGCCGGGGGCATCAGATGTAGGCTTCTTCCTACCCTAGAGCCCCTGGTGACTTTCTAGCCTCCGGAAGAAGTAGCTACAGTGGCCCCACCTGTGGGCACAGTAACAGTCTAAGGGTGGAGGCAGGAAGATGAAAGCAGGTGTTATAGGGTGCAACATTGCTGTCAGGGTGGGCGGCCGAGTCTGTAACCCAGCAATAGAAGGGAGACAAAGAGGGACCAGATGATGATGATTCTTCTTCTTCTTCTTCTTCTTCTTCTTCTTCTTCTTCTTCCTCCTCCTCTTCCTCTTCCTCTTCCCCTTCCCCTTCCCCTCCCCTCCCCTCCCCCTCCCCCTCCTCTTCCTCCCCCTCACCAGAGGACATTTTTTTTCTATTTATCTTCACACAGAGTGGGAGGGTGGGAGAGAGAGAAACATCCACTGGAGGGGGACACATCATCTGGTTGCCTACTGCACTACCCCAACCAGGGCCGGGGACAAACCGCAACCGGGGTGGTTGCCCTTAACTGGAAAGGAACCCCGACTCATTTGTCTTCGGGCCAATGCTCTAACCATTTAGCCAACCGGCCAAGGTGGGACCAGATTCTTTATAGTGCTGGGTAAACACATGGCACATAAAAATCAGTCCTCGGTTCCTTGGAGTAAGGAGTCACTCCCAGAGGAATCATTGAACATGCTGAGCCAAGAACTGAGCCATTCACCCATCCATTCATTCACCAAAAATTTGCTGAGCACTTACTGTAATCCAGGCTAGAAAATAGAATGATTGGCCAAACCAGACAAGGTGCCTGCCTTTGCAAGCTCATAGGGGAAGGGGAGAGAGACTGATATAGTAAACACACATGAGTTAGATCCTCATGGAAAAAGATAGTGAGAGGGCATGTTCTAAGGAGCATTTGACTTAAACAGGGAGGTCAGAGAAGGTTTTTCTGGGGAAATGGATGAATATGTGTTATCTATGTATAAGAGGAGTGTAGGAGAATTCCAGACACAGGAACAGCAGGTGTATTAACACAAGGTTGAGAGTGCTTAAAACAAGGTTACAAAACGTCCATCTTCCAACTCCCCAATCCCACAAACACAGAGTATTGCCAACCAGAAAGCCTAACCTGAGCCTCAATGTTCAGTTTTTGGGGCCCCATTATGTAGGCATGATTGACTGATCACTCACATAGTTGATCTTATACCAGTCCACCGATACCCTGTGTCTCAGAGCCCCAACCTAAGAATTCGTTGGTCTTTCTGGTGTGACCAGCTCCTACCCTAAATCACATTGTTACTCTTTGGCCCCAGCAAACAGAAATCATCTCCCAGAATGCTGAGGGCAAAGGCCAGACTTCTTCTGGGGTTAAGTTAAATTCTTTAGCACACAGGCTACCCCCTGCCTTTGGCAAAGACTCTTATAGCAACATAATCATATTGCCTAACATTGGGAGGGGTAACAGTGTTAGAGGAAGGGATAGATTTATTTATCTACTTACTTATTTAATATGTTTTTATTGATTTTTTTTTATCCTCACCTGAGGACATTTTTGCATTTTATCTTCAGATACAGCAGAAGGGAGAGAGGGAGGAAGAGACAGAGAGAAACATCGACATGAGAGAGACACATCGAGTGGTTGCCACCCACACAACCCCAACCGGGGCCAGAACAAACTACAACCGAGGTACGTGCCCTTAGCAGGAACCAAACCCGGGACTCTCCTGTCCGCGGCTGATGCTCTAACCACAGCAAAACTGGCCAGGGCTGTTTTCATTGGTTTTTTAGAGAGAGAGGAAGGAAGAGAGAGATAGAAACATCGATGTGAGAGAAAAACATTGGTCAGCTGCCTCCTGTTCGCCCCCCACTGGGGATCGAGCCCACAACCCAGGCATGTGTCCTGGCCGGGAATTGAACCAGGACTTCTCAATCCACCGAGCCATACCGGCTGGGCGGGAAGGGATAGATTTAAAGAAACAGCTACTCAAAAAAATAGCCCTGGCCGGTTTGGCTCAGCAGTTAGAGCGCCCGCCTGCGGTCCGGAGAGACCTGAGTTCGGTTCCCGCTAAGGGCATGTACCTTGGTTGCAGTTTGTCCCCGGCCATGGTTGGTCGTGCGGGTGGTAGCCACTCGATGCGTCCCTTTCATCGATGTTTCTCACTCTCTCTCTTCCTCTCTCTCCCTCCCACTCTGTCTGTACAAAAAATGGAAAAATGTCCTCGGGTGAGGATAAAAAAATAAAAATAAAAAAATTAATAATAATAGTCCAGCTGGTGTGGCTCAGTGGTTGAGCGTCAACCCATGCGCCAAGAGGTCACTGGTTCGATTCCTGGTCAGGACACATGCCCAGGTGGTGGTCCCAGTCTCCAGTGGAGGGCATGCAAGGGGCAGCCAGTTGATGTTCTCTCTCGTCGATGTTTCTATCTCTCTCTCCCTCTCACTTCCTCTTTCTCTAAAATCAATAAAGAAAAAAATTTAAATAATAATAATAATAATAAACAACTAATACATTGGGTTTGTTTTTGTTTTGTTTTGTTTTGTTTTTATCCTCACCCGAGAACATTTTTTCCGTTTTTTATTCAGGTAGAGTAGGAGAGAGAGGAAGAGAGAGAGAGAGAGAGAAACATCAACGTGAAAGGGACACATTGAGTGGTTGCCACCCACATGACCAACCAGTGCCGGGGACAAACTACAACCGAGGTACATGGCCTTAGCGGGTCTCTCTGGACCGCAGGCCGATGCTCTAACCACTGAGCAAACCGACCAGTGCGATTGGGGGTTTTTTGTTGTTTGTTTTTTATCCTCACCCAAGAACATTTTTGCATTTATCTTCAGATAGAGCTGGAGGAAGAGAGAGAGAGAAACATTGATTTGAGAGAGACACATCAAGTGGTCATCACCCACACAACCCAAACCAGGGCTGGGGACAAACTGCAACTGAGGCACGTGCCCTTAGTGAGAACCAAACCCAGGACTCTCTGGTCCATAGGCTGATGCTTTAACCGCTGAGCCAAACCAGCCAGGACACAACTAATCCATTGTAAGAGAGTGTCAGTTCATACATTTTTATATTTTTGTATTAATGTAATTATTTGTTGCCCCTCCCTTCCAATAAATATGTGCAAAACTGCCCTGGCCAGTGTGCCTCAGTAGTTAGAGCATTAGCCCGCGGACCAGAGACTCACAGGTTTAATTCCCCATCAAGGGCATGTACCTTGGCTGCAGGTTTGATCCCTGACCCTGACCAGGGTCGTGCGGGGGATAACAAATGATGTGTCTCTCATATTGACGTTTCTCATCCTCCCTCCCGTCCACTCTATCTAAAAATCAATGGAAAAATATCCTTGGGTGAGGATTAACAAAGAAAAACAAACAAACAAACAAAATTTGTTGATGGTTAGGTGAATTCAGTTCTTTCTCTGGCCAGTTTTTTCCATTTGTTTTAATTCCTGAGGAATCCTTAACTCAAATTCCCAGTATATTTGACTCTCTATTTTAGTATTTTACCAAGGCCAGTGTTACACCCTATCACAGTGTGTGTCCTGAAGAGCTATGGCACCTTACTAGAGTCCCATTCAGCCACTGACAATCCAGTCCATCACCACACTGTGTGTCTGAAATGTCTCCCAGAGTGATGCCACTCAGGTCTGTAGACTTTCATTAAATTTTTTAGGTTCCAAAAGCAGGCATGGTTTTCAGCAACATGTCTTCACCTTTCAGGCATCCCATATAACCAACAATAACATCTCACTCTGCGTTTCCAATGTAATACTGGATTTTTCTCATTGCATAAACCTTTCATTCATTCCTTTACCTTTCTCTCCATTTATACCCTAATTTTTCCACTAGTGTCAGGTTTGGCCACTGTGCTCATCTGGATTGCCACTCCCCTCAGGCCACTCCCATTCCTATGGGTAGGGTTACCCAGGCTACTCAGAACTGGTAGTCTGTCCCAACCACTCAGCAACAGAGCTACATTCACTGCCAGCCCCAATTTTGCCAGATGGGGTGAAGGCAAAACCTACCCCATCAGACTCAG